CACTCTGACAGGACGTGTGTGCTCATGACGGAGGACATAGGACAGCCTGGACACTGCACAGACAGCCCTCCCACCCCATGTGGGTGGCTCACTTGGTATCTGCAGGGTGGATGCTGTTCAGGTAGATGTGCACCGTGTGGTAGAAAAGGCCCACGATGGTGGTCCAAGCTGAGGGGAGATGCTGTTAAAGGAACGTCCAGCCCCACCCCACTTCCACCTGTGCCCCTCACACCCCACCCAGCAATGCGGGACAAACGACCACACGTATGTTTGTGTGGCTCCAAGGAGCTGTACGGGTTGGGAGCAGGGGACATGAGATTCTCATGGTTGACCAGAACCTCCTAGGAGCACGGACTCCTAGTGCCCACACACAATTCTGGCTCCGTGGGCCTAGCTGGGTCTTGGCCCTACTTCCACACAAGAGTTCGGGGACTCACACTAGAGACACACCCACAGGTGCACATGGGGGTAGGGACCAGCTCCTGGGCCCACAGATCTGACAGCAGGGGGTAGACAGCTCTCCTAAATGTTCCCCGCTCACCTTGGCTGTGGAAGGCTTCGTGGGGGATTTCGATGTAGCTGTGGCCCTGGGCCAGGAAGCGGTAACGGGAGCCATTCAGAGTCCTGGGCAGGACCATGGCCACCGAGTACTCTGGAGGGGTGAGGAGAGGGTGGTCAGTGAGCCCTGGGCTGTGGGAGGAATGCTGACTCGCATCCTCCAGCAATCCTCAGAAATCGACAAGCCTCAGACAAATGGACCCAGAAAGTAAACGGCAAGGCTCTGGGTATGCCTCCCATGCCAGGACCCTCCAGCACGCCCTCCCTCACCCACCATGGTTGTCACTGAGGCGGCTGGGTCTCTGTTCCTGGCTCCAGTCACTGGGCAGGGCTTGCTAGCTGGACTATGTCACGAGGGCACACAGCACTGCCACCTGTCTAGTGCCCCAGTCTGCCCCCAGAAGAATGGGACTGGCCCTACACTGCTTTCAAGACTAAAAGGAGGCTTTTCCACACTTGCATAGCTCCCTGAGGGGCACAAAGCATGAATAAACACGCTCACCTACAAACCAGAAGGTTGGCGATTCAAACCCACCCAGAAGCTCTATGGGGAAAAGCCCTAGAAATCTACTTCCAAAGGGGGAAAAGAAACCCAATATGATCCAGTGTTCCCGATACTTGGTACATATTTTAGAGCAATAAAAGCCGTGATATGAATAGATACTTGCACACCCAGGTGCATCACAGCGCTGTTCATGATAGAGAAGTGATGGAGACCGCAGATATACCAGTAACAGAAAGGTAGGTAAGCCACGGCACATACACTGAATGGAATGCTACCCAGCGTTGAAGAACGCAGCATCTGCGCAATGCCTCCCAGCACGGATGACCCTGTGTCAGTCACAAAAGGCCACAGAATGTGTAAGACCACTGCTGTAGAAAGTCAAGAAAGGTGGTCACACTGAAAGAAACTTGCTTTCATGATTCCCAGGGCTTGGAGGAAAATGCAGACTAAGTCACGGGCTACAGGGTACATGCATGTTAACTTGAGTGACAGGGAAGGCAATAAATAAGTTTAAAAAAATGTAATATGGATAGCTGAGAAAAAAAGATAAAAATGATTATTATCATTTAAAAAAAAAACAAAAACAAACATGAACAGAAACTGAGAACCCTGTGGAGCACAGTTCTACTCTGACACACACGGGGCGCCATGAGTGGAATCCACTTATGAAAACTCATCCCCTGAGAACCCTGTGGGCACAGTTCTACTCTGACACACATGGGGGCATCATAAGTGGAATCCACTTATGAAAAATCATCCACTGAGAACCCTGTGGGGCACAGTTCTACTCTGACACACATGGGGGCATCATAAGTGGAATCCACTTATGAAAACTCATCCACTGAGAACCTTGTGGGCACAGTTCTACTCTGACGCACATGGGGCACCACTAGTTGGAGTGTACTCAATGGCAGTTGGTTTGTTTTTGGTTTAGGGATTGTCTGATGGTGGCCAAAGAAGAATAGATTTGGACCCATGAGTCCCACTGACTCATCCTTCTCCCTTATGAACTGGGAAGACTGTCCATAGCCTGGACATGGCTTTGGTGTGGCCCCTAAATGCTCCAGAGTTTCCAAGTGTACCTGCCTTGAGTCTAGACACCTGTTTTTCTCCAGAATGTAATTCCTTCATGTAACAAAATCCAAACAACAAAAAGTTTTGCTTCGTCAGCATTCGTGTGTGATTCATTGATGGATTACATTCACCATTCTTCCCAGAACTTTTCCCATCAGCCTCAGCAAAGACTTCCCTGGCCCCTGGTAACCAGAGATACAACACTTGCCCATTCTAGGTATTTCACACAAATGGGGTCGTGGAATTTTGTGATTTGCAACTGACAGATGTCACTCGGCATGGCATTTTCAGGGTTCATCCACAGATTGGTGGGCACCAGTTGTGCCCACAGATACACCCAGTGCAGGTTTGGCCCAGACCTTCAGTTTGCAAAAACAGACAAATGCAGTGTCTGCAAAGTGCAAACAAAGCAGGCACAACCAATTAGGGCTGCCTGTGTTCTACCATGTGACCACCACACTGGGTTGTTGTTGTCAAGGGCTGTCCAGTTGGTTCTGACTCAGAGCAACACTGTATAGGGTTTCCAAGGAGCAGCTGGTGGGTTTGAACTGCTAACCTCGTGATTCTCAGTTCAGTGCTGATCCTATAGTGCCACAACATTAATTGGATGAGTTTAGGGTAATTAAACCACCAAACCCACAGCCCTTGAGTTAATTCTGACTCATAGCAACCCCACCAGGGCTTTCTCAGACTGTTGATATTTATGGGGGTAGACAGCCTCAACTTTCTCCCCGTGAATGGCTGTGAGTTTAAACCACTGGCCTTGTGCTTAACAGTCCTGGGCTCTGTGGTTGTTATTGTTTTTGTGAAGTGCTATTGAGTCAATTCTGACCCATAGCGACCCTGCATAGGGTTTCCAAGGAGCAACTGGTGAGCTTGAACCACCAACCTTGCAGTTTAAACGACTTTGCAGTCTGTCGCATTAGCCGACAGCGCCACACCAGAGCTCTGTGGTGGGCAATGTGAAAAGACCACTGTGTGACTTCCCCTCTCTTTATGGCTGACCAGGGCTCCAGTGTGTGTGGACCCGTTGTACTTGGATTGCGTCCCAGAATGCCGTGTGGGAAGATAGGCAGAGACCCTGAGGCCCTGGAGTGGGTTTGTGTGCCGGAGACGCCAGTTACCTGCCATGGAGGAGGAGCCCGCAATGGCGGCCTGGGGCTCACAGGCTGGCAGGTTGGCAGATATGTGGCCCATCACGGTGTCGATGGTCTCGATGAGCCCCAGCACCACAGCCTGGTCCTGGGACAAAGGAGGGCAAGAGAACCAACTAACTCAGGAATCACAGACCCTCCTCAAAACCCCAGTCTTAAACCCACTGTCCCTTTCCTCCCTGTTGTAGCTGACGTCTGAAAGGATACAAGTCTATCCAATAGAAACACTGGGCGCTCCTGCATCTCAAACCGGCAGATGTTTTCAAAGATTCAAATTGGTGGAGATAATTCAGGGAAATCAGCCCTTTAACGTCATATGGTGTGCCCGGGGTCCTTCTGGGTGAAGGGGGTCACAAGGCCTCCTCACCCCAACTTTGGAAGACACGTGTTGAGGCAGCAGCCTCAGGAGACAGGTCGCATCATCTGGACTTGCGGGTGCAGAACTGTGCAGCCTGTTGCTAAAGCAGCCTGGCCCGGGTTAGCCTCACCAATGCTACAGAGGAATATCTGAGACCGCTGGGAGATGTGCTTGACAGAGTTGAGTCAGATGTGCAGTATGTATGTAAAAAATACATGCATGAAAGCAAATTGTAAGATAGACTGGAAAGTGTCATGGATTAAACTGTGCCTCCCCCTCAAATATGTGACACTTTGGCTGGGCCGTGCCCCTCAGCATGATGTGATTGATGCCACTGTCGTGAGTGTAGTAAAGCCTCACGTCTGTGATGTGAAGACGGCAGGAAAATAACTTTCATTTGTGGACGTCATCCCCTTGAGGTATTTCTGTCAGAGCTACATTAGATGCCTGAGACAGCACACATGTGGTATTTCTGTTAGAACTGCACTCGAAATCTAAGGCAGAAGAAACACACACACGTGTGTTAGCCACCACTCTCTCAATTCTAGGATGGCAATAGTTTTATTATACGCATTTTCTCACTTCCTTTCAAGATATTTGTTTATTTCTTAAATAGGTAAAATCAACTCAAGTTGTTTTTAAAAAAACAAAGCTAAAATTATTCCATTCTCCTTTCTTGTTATTTAAGTACAGAGAAAATTATAGACTTTCCTCTTTTATTTTATTTTATATATACCATATTTTTGTGTGCAAACAACATACCCACCATTGAGCACAGAAATTAACACACAGGGGTGTTGCACGGTTTGCAAAACACTGTATAACACGTGTGTCATTTTGCATAAAAATATGGTTCAGCAGCTATTGCTCTGTGAATTACTGTTCTCACTTAGTTCACTGATCTTTAAATGTCAAACATGGGTGTTTTTAAAATTACCATTCAAGAATTATGTGATGGGAAATTAGTGTAAATTGCTACAATTTGATGAACTTGACCTATACTTATGGATGTAGTAGCTCAAAATACCAACTGAGAGGGAAGCAGTCTTCACATCGAATGTCAATTCTATCCCCTCTGTATACAGGGTAGATAGGGATGGGCAACTTAGACATTGGCTACCTAAAATGAGAGGGCGATAAAGGCATGAAGTGACTGGCTTACAAGTTTTCAAGGGGGAGTTTAGTTTAAGAGTGTGTGGAGGAAGATAGAGTTCCCACTGAATAGTTTTCATCTTGTCTACATGGGTCTGGTGAAAACAGATGGAGAGAAGATTTTTATGATTCAATAGTGAGTAACTGTTATCATGACTAATTGTGACTGTCACGATTGTAAAGGTAAAAGTTTTATAACATCAAGGGGGGAGTAGTTAATCTTACAGTTCAGACACAGAGGACCCTAGGACCATCAAGGGAGAAGAGCATGAGCAGAATGCAGGTTCTATCCAGAGAAGCAGCAACACCAGAGATGGAGGCAGAGATGAGGACATGGAGAGAGAGAGCAGCTGAGGACTCTAGACACATGGAAAGACAGGGATGGAGTGCTGGCGTCCAGGAGGCAGGCTTGCAGAATGTGTCCTTTGGGTGTTTAAATTCTTATATATTCCTGAGTGTTTTTGTGTATATCTTCCCCCCCCCAAAAAACAAAACAATACAAAAAAACAAAGGGACTGGAAGCAAATACTGCTGACTGATGATGTTCGGAGGAGATTGTAATCATTGCAATGAAACGATGAGTATAAAACTGTTGTTCTCCTGTAACAATGACCACTCAGTTCACAATAAAAATAAAAATAAAAAAGCTACCAACAACAAAAAGAACTATGGGATGGTAAAATTATATTAAATTATATAAAACGGTAAAAACATAGTAAAAATGTCACAAAAGATGGTAAAAAAAGCAGCAGACTGCCATCCAAGAGTTATGTGACAGTAAAACAATAGACATGTCTCAACCTCAGGAAGCCACCAGCGCATCCTGTCTGGGGTCTGGGGATGTGATCTGTCCCCCTGAAAGGTGTACATGGTTCTGCAGCCACTGAGCACACAGGACACTGACTAACTATCCTGTCGGCATGAGAGCTGGTACCCCTGATTCCAGGGCTGGGAGATCATCCTCCTTTTATCGATGTGCACTGGGTCATGCTATGATACTTCCAGGAAGACAAAATGACCACAAGGTCCTCTCACCTGTCAGGGGTCAGCACGTTCTCTTACCTCTGACACGGTGGTGGCCCAGCTGGGCAGTTGAAGGACCTCTCCCACAGTTTTGAGGAAAGTCTACAGACAAGACAAAGGGACAGTGTTCAGCATATACCCTTACTCTACACAATCTCACACTGCCTGAGGCTAGCTCCCAATGTGTCTAGACCTACCGAGTCACTTTTGGTGAACAATTTGGCCTCTCATGAGCACACAAGTTCCATATTACAGATGTACTCTGGGAAGCCCTGTGACCTCAGTGACAAGTGTTGAGGTATGCAGGAATACTAGCAGACATGGGAGGAGCCCCTGGAAATACCTGGTGGGTGTGTGAGTGGATGCGTGAGCAAGTGGACAAAGTCGTAGTCTGCTAGGCAAGCTTTTCTTGGGGTGAGAAGCCCAGAGAATGTGACCATTTGTGGTGACTGAAAGCAGAGTTACTGGGGCACCTTTGTTGGGTCACCTTACTAACAGTGGATTTCACTCACAAACTCATACTAGTCTGAAAACTTGAAATTAGCTTCTAACATATTCAAATTGGGAGATTTCAAACAGAAACGTGCAGATTTCCTGGTTCTTTGGAGAACAGTAGAAGTATGCACAGCCCCTAGTCCACATTCCCACACACGGCCAATGCTGGACAGCAGCTTCCCCTGAGACAGACAAGTGGTCCCCAGGTTGCCCCAGTCTCCACCTCTCCCTGTTGCCTGACACCCTCACAATCACCGTTAGTCTGAGCCCACAGTTGCGGTCACTGTCGTCAGTCCATCTGCTGGAGGGACTTCATGACCAATAGTGACGTCTTCTCCAGGGACTGGCCTCTCCGATGACAAGTCGGAACCATGTGAACTGGAGTGCAACCACCCTTCTTTCTAAGGAGTATTTTGGCTGTACTTCCAAGACGCTGTGTTTGTTTTTCTGGGAATCCATGGTATAGTTAACATTCTCGCCAACATACTGTAATTCAAAGACATCGATGTTTCTTCCATCTTCCTTATTCATTTTCATCTTTCTCGTGCAAACAAGGTTAATAAAAATACCATGGCTTGGGTCAGGTGCACCTTCTGCTTTAATCTTTTCTCCATTTTTCCATTCACTTCATTATTCATAGTGAATTTAACTGTCTGTCTCCTACTATTGACACCAGAATGAGACCTAAAGACCTAAGGCCTGAGTCAATCTCCCACATTTCCACCAGTTGCCACTTGCATGGAAAATGACGTCTTTATATTCATTGTTGTGAAGTGTCGTCGAGTAGGTTCTGACTCACAGTGACCCTGTATAGGTTTTCAAATAGCAGCTGGTGGGTTTGAACCACCGAGCCTGTGGTTAGCAATCCAGGGCTTATCCTACAGTGTCACACCAGTTCCTAGACACTGAATATTTAGAGAATATATCAAAAAGTCTCACTCTTCCACTTACTATTCATTCAAGATCTATTTCCCAAGACTTTAAAATGTCAGGCCCTAGGAATCAATGATAAACAGAGCCATCGTGTCCTGGCCCTTGCTAGACGAGTGAGCAGATTTTATAACCTAGGTCAACAAACTTTCTCTTAGAGAGTCACATCGTATATCGTTCAGGCTTTGAGGCCCATAAGGTTTCTATCACTATTCAAGTCTACCATTGGTAAGATAAAAATTGTTCAGTGCTGTTGAGTAGGTTTCGATTCATAGCTACCCTGTATGATGTTTCGAGGCGGTCAATCTTGTGGAAGCAGAAAGCCTCACCTTTCTCCCTTGGAGACACTGGTGGGCTCAAACTGCCAACCTTGTGGTTTGCAGCCCAGTGCTCATCATACAGAGCCACTGAGCTCCCAAGATGAAGGTAACCATAAACAATACTTAAGTGAGCAGCCATGCTTGTGCCCCAATAAAACTTTATTAACAAAAACAAGCAATGGGCTAGATATGACGCGAGAGCCGCCATTTTGCTGGCTCTTGCTTAACAACTATACCATCAAGTGGAAAGACAGTGTAGCCACATTTGCAATTAGTTCTCTAGTAGCCACATGAGAAAAATCAAAACAGATGGAAGTCAGTTTACTTAAACCAGAAGAGCCAAATATTATCATTTCAAGAGGCAATCAATCTGAAAAGATCAACTAGAGCTTTCCCTGTTTTGTTTCGTTTTAGGAGGCCCGACGGAAAAGCAGATTAAGCTTTGGGTTGCTAACTGAAAGGTTGGTGGTTCAAACCCACCAGCCACTCCTGAAGGAAGGAAGCCGGAATCTGCCTGTGGGGCAGTTCTACCGGGCCCTGTAGACCACTAAGTTACTGCCAGTCAAAACTGACTCAGTGGCAGTGGTTTTTTATTTGAAAGCCTTTTTTATTCTTCTTCAATTGTGAATTGGGTGGAAGTTTACACGGCAAATGGGCTTTCCATGAATCACTTCAGACACATTCAGTTGGAGAAACTGATGGCAGTCCCACCGTGAGCCAGCCCTCTTCCCACGTCCGCCCTGTGTTTTCATTTCCACTCATCCTTCCTGCCCTCGGAGCTTTCTCCCTGAGCAAACACTGCCTTTTGGTCTCATAGGGTTGGGTGTTCCGAGGAAAGAAACCTGGTGTGTGCCTTACACGCATGTCGCGTCTCATTGGGGGTTACCATGTCTCTAGAGTCCAGGCGCCACACAGGCCAGTGGAGACCTCACTGAACAGGACAGCACCATGGGCCTCTTGCCATGTTCTGTCCAACTGCCTTCTGCTGGTCGTGAGAAGCTAGATGTTAGAGAAATGTGCAGAAGGGATGCCAAAGATTTTCATTTCTCTATTCTCCCATGGGGTTTGAGCCCAGGAATCAGGTGGATTTGGGGCAAGGCTATAGGATCTGCTCCCAGGACACCGTAGGCCGGCTCTACAGCAGGATCCACGCCACCTCAGCATCATGGCCCACGGACAGAATCCGCCTGACAGATGCCTATGTTTGGCCTGCACATGATTTCTCTACTTTCTTGCAAACTTATATATATATGCTATTGCTGTTAACTGCTATCGAGTTGGTTCCGACCCATAGCAACCCTGAACAGGGTTTCCGAGGCTGTAAATCTTTACGGGAGCAGAAAGCCTCATCTTTATCCCGCTGAACAGCTGGTAGTTTCGAACTGCTGACCTTGTGGTTTGCAGTCCAATTAGTAACCACTACGTTCCCAGATCTATCTATCTAATCTATCTATCTATCTTATCTATCTTATCTATCTATCTATCTATCTATCTATCTATCTATCTATCTATCTATCTATCTATCTATCTATCTTATGGTGTTTGTGGGGAAGGTTTACACAGCAGTTTAGGTGCCTATTCAGCCATTTCTCACTATGCATGAGTGATCTCCTTAATTCTATTCTGGTTGCTCTGGCTTCTTTCATCTAGTCTCCCTGCCCTTTCACGGTTTCATCTTTATTTGAAGGTCATTGTTGTCTGTTTGGTCTCAGCCAGGCGATATTTTTAAAGGAGCACAGTCCTTACAGGTGACAGACATTATGTGCGGCTTCAAAAGTTTGTGCACAAACACCATGACCGTGTCGTTCCTTTTCCCCACTGGGTTTTTGAGCTAATCTGTTATTTTGCTACATAGTGACCTCAGGGGTTAGTTTAGGCTCAAGGTTTCATCAGGACAAAGTCTCAACCAGTCCAGCAGGTACAGTGACAAGATCTCTTTGTAAATTTCCGTTAACTTGCCCATTTTTAAAGGTTGAAAGATTTGCCAACGTTTGGGGGAAATCCCAGTTTAAGCCTCCCTTTAGTAATATGAAGTCAAGAAGTGGTAGCTCTAAAGATTAGCATTAGGGGGGCTCCATCCCTCTAGATGTTGGCCACAGTCCCTACCCCTCCCTATTGTCTCATGTCTGGCACATTTCACCTGTTTATTTTGCCTGTCTGACCCTGAAGGTATTTGAAGTTGCAGCCTCACACACGATCAACTTTAGTTAGGGGGGAACAAGAGGAGCAGCAGGAAAGGGGGGGAGTCACTAAGCTAAAACGCATGTTTCCTCTGTAGACTACCACTGACTCTATGTTCCAATACAGACATCCCTTGAAGGACATGCCTTCAGCTTCCGACACCTCCTAAGATAGAAGGTCTCCTGGGCCAGGCAAAGGGCTTTGTGAGTGTCCCTGCCTGTATGGCCACACCCTGATTCTGGCTGCAGGACTGCCCCCCATTTAACTCCTGCAGCCACACAGCCCATTCTTCCTGGGGTCCTGCCAGTTCCTACAGCCTACTCGGCACTACACTCGGATTCTGGAAACGATGGTTCTCACCTGCCACAACTGCTCATCAAATTGTGTCACCACCACGCTGGGTGTGAAGCAGGCCCTGTATCAGCCACAAACAAACACAGACCCAGGTCTCCTGTGGGTTTGGGGGCGGTTTCTCTCGGATACCTTCAGCACTGTACTGCAGACACCTCTGGGGCAGGGCCTGGACTTCTGGAAGGTTCTGAGAATGCCCTCAGAGTCTGCATCCCATACTTAGCTCCTAGGGGAACTTGGACCTACCCCCAGTAGGTCAGGGACAGGTGGGCTGTGAGCACCTGTGGGCACAGTGCCCCGGTGTCCACCCAGGCCTGACACAGAGGAGGTGCGGGCTCAGATCCTGGTTTCACAAGCTGACTATGCGTGTGCATTTGGGGAGAACTGAACCATCAGCCTCATAATCAGTTAACAACCCCTCACAGTAGGTGTTTAATAAACATCTGCTTAATTAATCAGCTAAATATTTAATCCACTAATTAATCTCCTACCTTCTCGCAGGGACCAGTCCCTGAAGAAAGACATCATGCTTGGTAAAGTGGAGGGGCAGTGAAAACGAGGGAGACCCCCAGTGAGGTGGATTGGCACAGTGGCAACAGCACAGGATGGGCAGGTGTTTCATTCCGTTGTACGAAGGGTCACTATGGGTCAGGACTGACTCGACAGCTCCTCACAACAGCACAGAATGGGGAGGTGTTTCATTCCATTGTACGAAGGGTCACTATGGGTCAGCCCCTCACAACAGCGTCCCCTCAGGAGCAGGGCCTCAGTGTCATTTGTTATTGCTAAATGCCGTCCAGTCCGAGCGACTCAGGATAGGGGTCC